CCCCAAAACCCCAAAACCCCAAAACCCCTTCAATTTCAAATAACTTAATAAAACGAATAATAGTTTTAATAATAAATTCAAATGAATATAACTTTGAATGAAAGTTTAAACATTAAATTAATTGTATATTAAGCTTATTATTCAAGAAAATACATCCATTCTTTTAGGAACATGCCTGAGCAAGCTTTTTCCTAAGTATATTATTCCTGTCACTAAGAAATCTCCTTGGAGTTGACATTATTGAAAACAAGCTTAGTGACTTCCATGAGTAAGCTCGGGTAGTATTCCAATTCCTCAAATGCCTAGGTTTTGCTAACCTCTGGAAAGTTCTTCATTAAGTAGTTCAAGCAGAATTTCTTCAGTTCCTGAGCTGCGTATTTATTGGCATCAATGAGCAAAGAGCATACGTTGTCGTTGTCCACATTGTGCATCAAAGTGTTTTCACATAAATATTTAAGACCTTCAAGCATATAAGCATCTGCGAGTCCAAGGAGATCCAAGGCCACTTATTTGCTGAAACTCTGAATACTCCCGCTATAAAGATATTCCATCATGAATAAATAAGAGTTGTAACTCCAGTCCTAGACATCAATTTAAGACTAACTAGTCTCCTTCATACCATTCATAAACATCGCTCTAAAGTGTTCACACTAAGCTGAGAGGATAGCTTTATGAGCGTATATCTACTTGCCTTCTACTAGGAATACAACGTCGGCAAAAGTCGGATTATTTATTATTTTCCTCATGTTTTGAATAAGCGAACTCACTGCTTCATTATTTATTTCGCTCTCCTCAAGTTTACCAATGTCTAAGACGCATATATCATTTAGCCATTTGCATCCATCAAATCCACCAAAAATAAATAGTTGCTTAGTTCCAATCACACAAGCAGTATGTCTTTGTCTGCCAGCAGGTGCTTTTTCACTTTCAGTTGGATGGCTCCATCTCATAGTGTCAGTATTAAGGACGTAAAGGTCATTCGAAGGGATAATCTTCTTAAACGATCTGCCTCTGCCATCGTAGCCTCCAAATAGATAAATCTTGTTGCCAATCAAACTAGCAGTGTGACCTCTAAGTCCTTTAGGAGGACTTCCAAAAATAAGTGGCTCAGTCCAAGAGAGAGTTTCTGTGTCAAATATATGCAAATCTTTAAGATGCTTGTTTCCCGAGTGTCCTCCAAAGAGATACAGCTTAGTACCCAAAACTGTCATTGTATGAGCATTTCTAGCCATTGGTTAAATTCCAGATACTGGAGGCTTTATCCATGTCACTGTGTCTAGATCCAAAATATCAATATCATTGAAGCATTTATCTCCATCATAACCACCAAACATATATAACTTTCTGCCAACTCTGGACATGGTGTGGCAAGCTCTAGCAGATGGTTTCTATAATAATCAGTTAGACTTGAATCTTGGTTTGGAGAAGTAATTTACTTGACCTGATACTTTTGGTTTTTACCAAATCATAGAGGAGGTATTCAAAACATACAAATCATCAAGCCATTAATTGCCATCATGACCTCCGTGAAAGTAAATTTTGTCCCCATAGACAGCAGTTGTATGATTATTTCTGCATGCAGGAGTGGGACCAAAAGTTTCAGGGTCACTCCTTTATATAAATTGTTAGTTTGATCAATTTCTTAATTGTTGAAGTTTTAAAGCTAATGTCAGAATTTGACTTACCAGATGTATTTGTCGATATCCAGAACATAGAGATCATTGAGAGCATTTTTACCATTCCAACCTCCGAAAATGTAGAGATTATTATTGACCTTGTCACAAGAATGTGCAGCCCGGGAACCTAAAGGGATTATATGAAAAAGTAAGTTAGGTAACTACTAGGGGGGTCGTTCTGTGGAATCGGAGTATACCAAGCCATTTCTTTTTTCAAATTGATCTCGATTATTTTAAATTAATATTGATTTCTCGCACTCCTCATTATCGAAACTATTTCTTTTCTTTCGGGGTTTTGGGGTTTTGGGG